ACAAGTTTCCTATTTCTGACGTCTACCAGTATTTTGTGGAATTGCAGAAAATCAATGCCGATTATAGGAACGAGGACGTCCGCTATGATGAAACTCCAGGAAAAATTAGATTTAGGACCGAAATTTAATTCCAACCGCCTTTTGCCGTACGTCTTGATGTCAGACCTGTTTGCAGCTTGTAGTTTTAGTTTGGGGTCAGGTGTGTTTTTCTCGAGTGCAGTAGGTGGTACTACACTAACCTCTGCCCCAGTGTCGACTAAAAACTGTGTGCCGGTTCTTTTGTCTGTAACATATAATAGACGACTGTCTTGAGAGTTGTGGTCAGTGAGTGCAGTCGTCATTAACCTACGGTCTTGACGTTCCTTTTTCTGTGTGCTTGCAAAGTTACAAGGCGGAGTACATTTTCTAGCTTGTTTGCCATATGTTCTATGGTACCAGCAAGTGTTGTGTCTAGTAGTGCTTGGACTACGTCGTCTACGGCTTGTGGATGTTCCTCTACGCTTGCTGTGGGAGGCATTCAATAATTGGATCTGAGCTATCTGTTTCGTAAGGGTATCAACTGATCGTCGTAACTCGGCGATCTCGTCAGCTGAGCTTGATTGGATTCGAGATACAAGGTGAGTCTTGGACCGTTCGTAAATTCTGTCGGCTATGTCTGCTAGTCTATCAAAATCAACGTCTTCGTCTCCAATTGCTAGTATCTGTTGAATGTTTTGAGGGAGACGTCTGAGCCACAATTGATATAGTAGACGTTTGTCTACTGTACGATTTTCTAATAAGTTTGTCATGTGGCGTTTTAACTGTGACGGTGTACTGTCACCTAGCTCTACGTTGGCTAAAAGTTGATCAATTGTCTGTTGGTCGGTGAGAGATGTGACACGAATGACCTCTCTTTTTAGACAATCGAATGGTGAGTCAGGATTCGGCTTAAAAACGACATCCGGCACTTGTTCAATGACGTCATCTGGCAGTAGTGAATTTGCATAACTAAATTTCGTACTCTGGTTTGTGATTTTGTTTGCTACAAAAAAGCTTTCTAAGCGAGCAAACCAGAGTTCAGCCTTTCGTGGATTAAAAATGGGTAAAGGTACAGAGATGGCACCCACGGAAATAGATTTAGATGAAAGGCTTAGCGAATTATCAAGTGCCATGATACGAAGAAGCAATAGTAATAATAAGCCGAGGATTGTAATATACAATATGAAGAGAAATCAAAAATAACAACAAGAAATATATATAAGACTCACCAAAAAGAAAAACTGTCACTTTTGGTTTAAATATGCGAATATACAGCAATAATTCCAAAGGAACAATGTTATGGATGGATTTATTATGACTGTTAATGAATTGTTAATAATTGTAATAGTAATTCCAATGTAAAGTTCTTTAAGATACGCTTGGAGAGTATGCAGCAGAACTCGTAGAGGAATGGTGTGTGTTCTAAAAGCGGTTCACCAAAATGTTGAGGATAATGTCCTCAATATCTGACTCCAAATAATAATATCCCGTAACTGAGTATTTTAGGTAGGCTTAATCTCCTAGTAGAATTGCGAATTTACTCGAGATTATTAAAAAGCCTGAACACCAGTTATAGAGATAGTTTATTGTTAATGAATAATAATAATCCACAAGCGTACGGTGAGCAAGCACACGATGAAACAGAGTATGTGTGAGTCTGTTAAAAATCCATATATATTTGAGAGTTAATCGGGTGTGGATAGATTATCGATTATCTGCACATTGAAACCAATAGGAAAATAGCTTAAGAGTTAATGTACAGACATACATTCGATCATACACACCGAAATTAACATAGTGCATTGAGTCTGAGTTACAATGACTAGATAAATGATACAGTAGCCAAATCGGCTTGCCACAGATGATGGTTTTCTTTCCGAAAGTGGATTATTTCACCTATTGAATATCAGTGTATTCAACAATGAATTATACAAACAAGGTCCGTCATCCATTTAATTGCCTGAAAAGCAAAACGAAACCTTTAAATCTTTTCACGTCTATTTTATTTTATTTCCATTTATCTAAATACATGAAGTCTGCTTATGTACGTATCAATAATTATTACTGTTATTATTATCATTATTGTTCCCCCGACACATTAGATATTCCTTTCGTATGTTCTTATCCTTCTTAACATATTTAATTCCTGACTGTCCTTTGAAATTAATTGTGACTTTCATAGCATCATTCTTAATTATTATTGCACATATGTTTATACTAATATCCGGTTTCACACTGTATATTATTACATAAATCTACATGGTTTTTATCCGAGTGCATTAAAGGGTTTTTATTTTATTTTTCTAAATTGTTGGTTTCCTTCTGAGGTTGATATTCATTACACAATTATTATTCTTATCATGGATGAAACTTTTCACTAGGTGTTCACTTCTTTTCTCTCTTCTTTCCCTCTAAATAAATATTCTTAAGATTACGAAGTTTGTAATTAAGACAATAACTTGTGTTACACTTAAATTAACTTCTCAGACCCGTTTTATCTTCACTATGCATATATGACTCATACATATTGATATTTCATTATCCTTTTCACTCAGTTGAGACTTTCATCGCATCACTCCAAACTATGACTGCACAAACATTTATTCTAGCGTCATATCTTACTACAATAATAAGTTGTTTTTTCTTAATTATTTTTTGTTACTAATTTGACGATATATACATAGTCGTTTAATCTTGTTTTATGTTCATAAATACGCCAATTAAACTGTTTGCGTATTTCACGTCTCCTTTATTTCTATTCCCTTATTTTATCCATTTCCTCCTTTGAAATCAATCCAATATTCTTCTCAATTGCACAGACCCGATTTATTATTATTAATATTCTACTATTATTACTCTAAATTTTTTTAAATATGGCAAGTATTATGCTAACATTATTGAAAATTGTGTATCATTGCATTGTTTGAAGTAACCCGAAATGGTTTCTTCACAACACTTATGTACCCATAAGATGTTTGTGAATAATAATAATAATAATAATAATAATGTTGGGAGTAAACGAAAGCAGCCAAAAGTGTCGTTCACCATGTTCCAGTAACTTGATATATTTTAGATTGTTAAGCAGTTACAAAGCACCATAATTCATGACGAATACTGATTGTGTCATCTGTGTCTCAAACTTATGAATGTGTGGCATGCTGATTTTCTGGGTTCCAGTTTGAAACTAACCGAGTTAATCTCACTGGCCACGAGTTTCAGAGTAAACAAATATTTCATTTTGCAGAGAGTACCCTTGCCGATTCTCACGTACTAAGATGTCGTATTTATCAACCACGTTTCTTATTCATTGCATCTTCTTTCGCACCAAAAATCTCTTAGCTATATAGAAAGCTAGATGGATTTTTAGATTATTGTATGTCCTTTCACACAATCTGTTATTGTAAGAATTCACATTTTACGTTATGAGCGATGCAATACATTATAAACATACATTTTTGTGGCGTTTGTATGAACTAATGATACTTTTGCACTCGGTGACTGCTTGATTAGAAATTCTCAATACAATACCTTTGTTCGTGCTCATCTATTACTCCTTGGTTTAGTTGCGTTATATCAGGAATTCCTAATTCGTACAATAATTCAAAGACTCCTAACCATCGAACTTTTCCTGTCCGTCTATGGTGTATATGTTGCAAATTTAGACATTCCAGTCTGTCCGATTATACCGTACTTAGGTCGAGAACTCTTTTGACTTGTGTTTTATAGTCATAATATAGCAAGACAATATCTTTATTTAGACAAAGTTGTATGATGTAGAACTATTTTTCATGATGTGATCTTTATAAAACACTGATTGCCACTTTAAGAAGTTCATGGGTCTAGCTAAATTATATTCCCGAAAGACCCTAAAATGCTAAGTATGCGCCTTTGCAACAGAACGCCATTTGGAGGAAATGGGTTGATTATCGTCTGAATTGATGTCTTCGTCCGTTTCTGTATAGAAAAATGTGATGGCCTGATAGCTTAGAATGTAGTTAATGGATAAACCGCCACGGTTTACCATGGCCATTCTTCGTTTCATGGTACCAGAAGAGACGTTTCCTTTGGTTCGGTATTCTCTACTCTACTAGTCTTCCTGAAAAGTCAGAATATCGTTGTGACATGGTGTTATGTAACGGTGAAAGTAAAGTATGGTTGAGCGTCGAGCGTAGACAAAATTGCACTTAACCTGCAGGCTATTAAATATTGTGATTTCCTCCATTGTTATTGATTCCTAGTTCGAGCTTTCTAACAGCGACTGCTTGTCACCGTACTGAAAAAAGCCTTATCTAATGATAATGTAATTCCATAATTAGGATCGTGAGTCCCAGTGTTAATACAACATGACTAGTTTCATTAGTGGACTAATAAGTTATCGCCGTAAAACTAGTAGAGAAAAAACCTTTAACTATCCATTATACAACATAGTATCATCATTAAAATCACCTGGGCTGTTTATCCCGAGTTTTTGCTCTCTTTCGTTATTGAAGCATGGTAGATCGATCAACTTTTAGCTTACGATCCTAAATGATCATAGAACCAAACCCCGATTCAGCCACCAAAGTTTATTTGCAGATTACAAGCGGTAGACAAAATACCGTTCTAATAATAAATATAACATTTATAAAACAAACCGTCAAACTTTCAGATTTCGTGATTGAAAACTTCCAGATATGAAACCAAAGAAAAAAGTGAAACCAAGCTATCCAAAGTAAAGACATAAACAAACAAGCTTAGAAGTTGAGTAAAACAAATGCATATAAAAACAGTGAAATTAATTATATTCAATTTGACAGCTTTTAGTTAGTCAAATATCTTCAGTTCTCCTGTAGAACAATTGCTAAGATTTACTCATTTGGAAGTATGAAAATACTTAAAACGTTTAGGTAATATCAAGTCAGGAACACAAATAAATCTTCAGGATATCATTAGCTCAGAAATATAATGATGGATGTTGGATGTTTGTTCAGTCTTAGTAATTAGATTATTCCATCAACTGTGAACCAAATTGAATTTTGCAGGGCGATGATCATTAAAGAGTTGTAGGTTGATTTGGTGTATTTACTTGTTATTTGTAACTGTTTCAGGGTAATACTTGTTGCTTTCGATCGTGGTTAAGTCCACATCATGCATCTTAGAAATGAGGTTTGATTATCAGTAAATTATCTACCTATTCTGAACACAATTATGCATAAAATGACAAATAGTGGCGTTTACATGCTATGGTTACTAATATTGAACGAATATCATAGGTTTTCATATATCTTGAGACTCAGTGTGCTTATGCGTGCGTTTCTTTCCTACAATCGCTAGGCTTAATTGTCTCGTGTGACTGTTCATATTGTAAAAATGTCCTCTAACCAACCTAGGTGTAAATTTAAAAGTTACTATAGTTTGCTAGGTCAAAATAAAGCATTCCTGGTCACTCGATTTCAAAAATAGTTCTCAATCTCTACACCCTCTAAGGTTTGCACATCTTTCAGTAGGGGTTTTACATGGTCTTGTAAATCTTACTGATTGATGCTCCTCGACTAATATAGCTAGTTTATTTTTAATCCATGGCACATTAATCATTTTTAGTTTGAATGGTAGGTTTTATGAAAGATTCTTCGCATATACTCACAATCATCATCATTGTAAATTTCATCTATCCATTCAAACAGTCCCATGTTTTGATCGATTTGTATGCGGCTAGTTCATACTAACTAACTTGTCTGAGAGAAATCAATCCCACCAGCATTGTGGGAAATTGTCTCTGGCATAACTTTATTTGATTGTCAAGCCTATACATCGTTTGTGTCCAGTTTATCATTTCAGTCAATCTGGAGCTCGTCATGTAGCTCACTAACCAAGTACATGCTCATGCGCTTGTCTTCAGCCACATAATTTCTCGAACGGCTAGGGATACCAAATCAACATTTCGGGAGTTAAAATTATGGTTCTTTTACAGTCTATCCATCACTCTGTCTGTCTCTAAACTTGTGATATTGTATTCATCAAACCGGTTCTCATCTGTGAACTCTTAGTTATCAATTATTAAAATACCTACGCTAAAGTAATTTTCGTAACTGGATTTACTTGACCGCTAATAATAGTTTAATCTAATTCTTTAGTTTGATTTTTCCACTTCAAAATGTTCGTAAACAAGATATGAATCCCTGAATGTTTCAACACTAGGGGCTATAAAATACAGTATTTTAAGCGAAAAGAATATAAACCAATCGAAAACAAATCAGGCTAAATTTAGTTAGATCATATAGAACTATTCTGCCCTCAAATGCCCTTGTACGGCCGAGAGTGGGGAGAGTCAGCTCTCCTTCTCCTTGTATTTGTTTCAAAGACAAATTTTACAAATTTAAACACAAGACTGATTTATACGGCGAATTTTATTATTTATTTATTTGAACACAGATATTGGTACAAGAAGGCACCAAATACATGTGCGCCACACAAATCTCATTTGATATGTGTGAGAGATGTGATACTACCCGGGTGCCCAAACCGAAGCAGGTGGTTTTCTTAGCGGGCCACACCCGGAGCCTTCGACCTGAAGAACTGATCCACAAGGCAGTGGAGCATCGTAAGGAGATGTAGTCCTATGGTAGCCGGTGATCAACGATTGGTTCATACGCCATTTGTTCCTTCAGGATCCTGGAGCTCATATGCACCATTGGTTTGGAATGAGGGTTTTCCAGCTCCCCTAGGTGGACCCTTCGTATCCATCAGTCCGGTTAAAGCGCTGGACATTCGCTTTTCGTCCTCTCCACTTCGTAAACAACACCTCGGCGAGAAGGCAGTGAGTAGGACTTCCCAGGCCCTCAAATGCCCTGGTACGGCCGAGAGTGGGGAGAGTCCGCTCTCCCTCCCGAAATGCTCTCACACGGCCACGCGTATATAGCCTCTGCCAGGGAAGTCCTACTCATTGCCTTCTTGTGGCGGGGTTGTTGTTTACGAAAATGAGAGGACGAAAAGCGAATGTCCGGCGCTTTAAGCGGATTCAAAACCAATGGTGCATATGGGCTCCAGTATCCTGAGGGAACAAATGGCGCATGAACCAATTGTTGGTCACCGGCTTCCATGGGACTGCATCTTTTTACGATGCTCCACTGCCTTGTGGATCAGACCTTTAGGTCAAAGGCTCGGGGTGTGGCCCCCTAAGGTAACCACCTGCTTCGGTCTGGGCACCCGGGCAGTATCACAGCTCTCACACATATCGAATGAGATTTGTGTGGCGCACATGTATTTGGTGTCTCTTTGTACCATTTTACCCTGGCAGTGGGTGTATGCACGTGGTCATTTGAAAGCATTTCAAGAGGGAGAGCTGACTCTCCCCACTCTCGGCTTATTAGGGCATTTGAGGGCTTGTAGAATCCTAGTGAAAATACCTCAGTTAAATTTTCCAAGAGCTACCACTCATATTATTTATTTATTTGAACACAAATATTGGTACAATGGGGCACCAGATATATGCGCCACACATATGTATGCTACAAGTACCATATTTCATGGAAAAATGGACTAGTTTGAGTTGTCTAGAGAGACATAAATCTGTTTGGGAATGTCAAGATGATAAAAACCAGAAGTTGTAAACCTTTTGTTCTATTTTACTCTTAATTGGTTTGTTACTCGCTGTTCATGTTATTTCTCAACTCGTACTCTTGCTTAATATTTTTTCTATTCTTGTTGACTTGCTGCACTTTGCTAGGCGTTCTACATTCAGTTCTATCTATTATATTTGACTGATTAAGGATGCAACATTTCACTTATAGCACATAAGTGTAACCCGTTTCCTGTTCTTTGCCCTATTTATGTAGTCGCATAATACTGCCTTTAACGGTAGATGAATACCATGTTGGACAACTGTGGGCTGTTGCAGAGGCATCCAAAAATGAAACTGGAGGCGGAGAGGGAATAGAGGTTCTGGTAAATGAACCATTTAATCCTCAAGTCAATCCTCCTGAGTCACCTTTAAAAGCCAACGGTGAAGAATTCTCCTCTGGCCAGTACACTCATAAACGCTTTTATCTGGCCAGAAAAGTACCTGGTTATGTACGTTTGCTTGCTCCGAAAGGGTCACTTGAAATTGACGAAAAGGCCTGGAATGCTTACCCTTACTGTCGTACAGTTTTACAGGTATACATAAATAACTTCATACATTTTTAGAATCCTAAATATATGCAAGATAACTTTACTCTGATGATTGAGTCTATGCATGTACAAGATAACGTTAATATCGAAAATGTAAGTACTGGTTTTTAAAAGAATCATATTTTATCAGATTCACAACCTTCCACCAAAGCTCTTGGCTCAACGAGAAGTTATTTATATTGATATTGTAAATGATCAATTGCACAGTGCTTCTGACTATGATGCAACATGTGACCCTAGAATATATCAGTCAGTAAAAACTGGTCGAGGTCCATTAGTAGGCCCAAGATGGTGGGAAGTTAGTATATTCACATCTTCATTTATCTTATTTAAATAAATTGATTAGAATACAGATCTACCAATAATGTGCGCCTACAAACTTGTCACATGTGAATTTAAATGGTGGGGTATTCAAAGCCGAGTTGAAAATATGATACAGAATGTATGTTGCATGTAAACAAGATATAGGGTTGTATTTCTTACTTTCTTTTAAAATTATGTAGCAAGAAAGGCGAATTTTCCTTAATTTCAACCGTCAGGTTTTTTGTTGGCTTGATAAATGGCACGGACTTTCTATGGACGATATACGAGCTATAGAAAATAAAACTAAAGAAGAATTGGATGAAGTATGTTTGTTTGGTGGATATAAATGTATGATTATATTTTTTCCCTTTTTGTTAGTCATATATTGCACTTTGTTGATCAAGATTTCTGGAAGCTTTTGCCTATTATTTTTAAGTACGTTGTTTGGTTAGTGAATTCAGTAAAGCACAAACAATACTTGACGGAGGATCAGGATACAATTTATCTTTTCTAATATCTTATTTATTTGTTTATTTATTTGAACACATAAATATTGGTACAAGAGAGCGCCAATATATATGCACCGCACAAAACAATGAGAATTCGAAGAGAAAAAAGAAAAAAAAGGTAAGGAGCGTAAAAAAAGGACAATAACGAAGAGATCGGTGTAAGGTAGTGTGGTAGTAATGGGGGAACGGAAAGATACAATCGGAAGAAATCTTTCAGTTAAGGAAGATAAAACCACCTTTTATGAAGAAAGTAAAAGGTTACAGCAGGATCGCCACTGGCTTCTATTCTGAGCCATATCTGATAACGTCTCTAGCCACTGTGTCGCACCATTTCTCGGACCCCAACCAGGGAGTCGTGAAGGACCAACAGAAGCCAGTCCTTTGCAGCTTTCTTTCATCCCACGACACCATGTCATATACTGACCACCTCTCCGCTTTCTCCAACCAGTCCCAGAGTCGGCAAATAATACACGACGTGGAATTCTCTGGAATGACATTCGTGGAACATGTCCAAGCCACCGAAGTCGGTGTTTCAAGATGGCGACACCAATTAGATTATCGTCTCTGTGCCCGAACACACGATGCCGAACCTCTGCATTACTAACATGGTGTTGCCACTGGATTTCGGCAATCCTTCAGAGACAACGATGATTGAACACAGAGTGTCGTCTAACCTTCTCAACTCGGAGAGGCCAGGTTTCGCAAGCATAGAGCGTAACTGCTCTCACCGACGCGTTGTAGATCTAAACTTTTAATGCCAGACTGACATCACGAAGGCCCCAAAGGTGGCCCAGATTGGCATAAGCCGCTCTGGATTTCACTATATATGCATTGATCTCATCATTCACATCCCCACCAGCACTTATGCAGCTACCTATATACACGAACTTCTCGACTACTTTTATCTGCTCACCATCCAGAGTGAGTACAGGATTAGAATCCTGCCAGTCTTGTAGAAGTAGTTTGCACTTCAAAGGTGCAAAGCACATACCATACCTACGGACACTGATTGCCAACTGATTAAGTGCGGATTGCATGCCTTAGGCATTATCGCACAGTAAGACAATATCATCATCCGCATACTCAAGGTCGAGAAGTCTTTCTCCAGGCAACAGATCCACACCACCATTACTTACATCCATCAGAGCTGTTTCCAGAATGTCATCGATGGCAAAGTTGAAGAGGAATGGTGAGATTGGGCAACCCTGCCTAACCCCACTGCTCGAATGGAACAATGGAGAAAGGTAGTTGTATGCCCTCACTCTGCCTGAGGTGTTTGTATATAGGGCTTTTAGGACGTTAATAAACTTCTCAGGCACACCCTTCTTCAATAGACAATCCCAGAGAACATTCCTATCCAACGAATCGAAGGCAGCCCTGATGTCAAGAAACACTACGATTGTTGGCCCTTGATAAGTATGACGGTGTTCTAATATTTGGCGGAGGGTGAAGATATGATCAATACATCCTCGACCAGAACGAAATCCAGCCTGCTCCTCGCGAATCAATCTTTCTCGGGTTTTGAACAACCTAAGAAGTATGACGGAAGCCAATAACTTGGATGCGATCGGAAGTAGACTTATCCCCCGATAGTTGTTACAGGAACGACGTGAACCCTTTTTAAAGACAACTATCGACTCATTCCATGACGTTGGTACACTCTCTAGTTCCCAAACCTTTGTAAACAACGTCGTCAATTCCTTAGTCAGAAAGTCACCACCATCTTTAAAAAGAGCCGGAGGTAAGTCATCTGGGCCAGGTGATTTGTAACGCTTCAAGAGTTGGAGTTCCTTGCGGACTTCCGCCTCATTTGGTGGATCAGTCGTCACCGGCCATGGATGGCAAGACAGTCTGATCGATGTTGCCGGAGCAGCAGGCCAGTTGAACTGCCCTTCGAAAAATTCTGCCCATCGTCCAAGACGTCGATGGATGTTAGTGATTGGCATCCCATCATCCTCGCAGATTGTTTCGCTCACACCAGACTTCTTGCTGCCAGTGGCTCGGATGAGTTGGAAGAGCTTCCGGTAGTTACCAGATGCAGCTGCTGCCTCCAACGTATTAGCACGCTCCGACCACCAGGCTTCTCGGTCCTTACGCAAGCTTTGCCCAATTTCAGTACGTAACATCCTTCGTTTATGGTCAAACTCACGGTCACCCGGAGTAGACCTACGGGCTTCAGTGAGTTGTAAGGAACCAGAAGAAGCCCAGTGTTTATAAGCGGGACGTTTCACGAAGCCGCAAGTGACTGTACCCGCCATTTTCATGGCGTCATGCAATTGCAACCAATGCTCATCTATACTTTTCGGTGGAATGGTAGCTAGCCTAGCAGCTAACTCGGTTCGATACTTACTTGCAACAGAAGTTGCAATCAATTTGCTAACATCAATCTGTTGGTGGTGGTCACTTCGTTGGCTACTGAAAAGTAAGGTGGGATTGACGCAGATCAGGGCATGATCAGAGTTCAGATAGGTACTCCAAAAGGAGTGGCAGTCTTGCACACAACCACGCCAGCGGTAGCTGATCGCGATGTGATCAATCTGAGTCCAGGCTTGGGATGCAGAGGGAGGACGCCAGGTGGCACATCGGCGATGACTGTGCCGAAAGTTAGTGATAGCCAGAAACAGGTTGTGGTCTGTGCAGTGGCAGTAGACGGTCCCCGTTATCTGTCCTGCGACCAACAAGTCCCCATCGGCCACCTAAACGACTCTTCTATGTCTAAGACGCCCGACCTGAGCATCCAAGTCTCCGGCTAGTACTACAATATCTGTCGAACGCACTTTCTGGAGAAGAACAGATAACTGGTGGTAAAACTCATCCTTGATTGCATCCGGGCTGCAATCTGTCGGGGCATAGGCGGAGATGACTAAAAGACATCGTTTCTCACGCCGATTTCTTCTCACTTTGATGGAACTTTCTAATCTAACAGCACATAACCGACTGTTAATGGGGATCCAATCGACTAGTGCTGCCTCAGCTCTAGCGCTTAGTGCGACACCAACGCCAGCAAGACCAGACGAAGATGCCACAGGGTCCTCGGATAAGCGCACGTAAAACAAGCTTTTTGAAGTGACAGATGGAGATCGAACTTGTAGTACTTCACCAGAGTCTTGAAAACGGGTCTCGGATAGACAACAAACATCAATATTAAGACTTTCCAAAGACATAGCCAGCCCTATCTGTTGTCCAACCTGCATAAGTGTGCGAACGTTGAAGGCAGCCAGTTTGAATGGTGCACGTGGTTTCAGAAAAACTGCTTCAGTACTCATAATCAGTAGTAATATACAATTTTCAACCGGACAGTGACTCGAGAACGTTTAGATACAGTCGAATTTCCACCAAAGCCGAGCCGCTGTATAAGTATGAAAGAGGGTGAATAATGTGGAAAATAATAATAATGATAATAACAATAATAATGAAACAACAATAATGACAATAATAGTAATGATAATAATTTGAACCAATTGATTGTTTTTCGAAGCGAGAAAAGTAGTTTCCATAGATATAGAGAGTTCATCATTTGCTTGTGGGCTGTGATACTGCCCGGGTGCCCAGACCGAAGCAGGTGGTTACCTTAGGGGGCCACACCCCGAGCCTTTGACCTAAAGGTCTGATCCACAAGGCAGTGGAGCATCGTAAGGAGATGCAGTCCCATGGAAGCCGGTGACCAACAATTGGTTCATACGCCATTTGTTCCCTCAGGATACTGGAGCCCATGTGCCCCATTGGTTTGGAATCCGGTTAAAGCGCCAGACATTCGCTTTTCGTCCTCTCATTTTCATAAACAACACTCCATATTATCTTATCGTGGATTGATTGAAGTTAGGCATTAGCACAGTTGGATCCTCTCATTTTCGTAAACAACACCCCCGCCACAAGAAGGCAATGAGTAGGACTTCCCTGGCAGAGGCTGTATACGCGTGGCCGTGTGAGAGTATTTCGAGAGGGAGAGCAAACTCTCCCCACTCTCGGCCATACCAGAGCATTCGGGGGCTTTCTAATATCTCAACATAATCAATTGTCTCTAATTATGAAATATACATACAGAGCAATTAGTTTTGAATGAATGATATCACTCAGTGTTTTTCACTGTTATTTGCGACCGAATCAGTGAATTCTTTCAAATAATGTTTTCAAAGTATCGATATTATCAAAAACTGACACTGAATTGTGTAACCAAAACTAACATCAGTCGTAAACGGTATGTGCAGATTTAGAGGATTTTGCAAAATGTATAACTATTATTCGCTTCAGATTTAAGCTCGATAGTCGCGACCAACACTCGAAAAATATCTCATTTTAGATACCTCTAGAAGAACTCTTTCACGGTGTAAGCAAACAGGAAGTGAAAACCACCCTCATACTTCTAACAGCACTTGATACCCCTGTATTCATAAATAATTTCACTCTTCGATCCCCATTATTCCTCCTACCTCGACTTTCAACTTTCCCTTTTGACTTCCTCCTCAAGCGTCATCATGACACAATTCTATTGCGCGAAACACTCCCAGGTTTACTGAAACCTTGCTTCAAACTACACATTGGGGTCTTCAACGTACGCACCCTATATCAAATCGGCCAAACAGACCTCCTTGGCTAGAACCCTAAAATCTCGTATGATTGGTGTGTGCTGTGTCTCCGGATCATGCATACAAAATCGTAGTGTGGTCATTCACTTGACCTCACCTAGCCCGAACGGGGAGCCGACGAGATACGCCCTCCGTGTACCTGGCGACTCGACAGCAAGTTATCATGGACTAGCAGGTGTAGGCATAGCACTATGTAAGAGGACAGAAGAAGCGCTTTTAGAGTGGATCCCTGCTAACAGTCGCCTTTGTGCTGTTCGGACAAATGGCTCCGTAAGAACTCGGAAGGATAGGGACACACGTCGTCGCCTTTTCCTCGTTTCTGTCTACGCTCCCACTGACTGCAGCATGGATGAAGTGTAAGATGACATGAAGCTTTCTGAACTTTTTCGCAAAGCTAAACACTTAGACATAGTACTCGTAGCGTGTGAATTAAATGCCCAGGTAGGTAGCTTAAACCAAGCAGAAAGACATTTAGGTGGGTATTTTAGTATCCCGGTTCAGCGAACAGTTAATGTTGATCGTCTGCTACAACTGTGCTCAAACAATCGTTTATTTTCGGCAAGCACTAAGTTTAAACATAAGGAGAGACATCGTCTAACATAGCGATCCCCTGCACCAAACCATCGATGGACTCAAATAGACCATATTGCCATCAGTAATCGTTGAAGAGGCTCGATAGAATACCGCTCGTTCTAGAAGACATGTTTAGACCCTGATCATGCTCTAATACGAGCACGTATTTGCTTGCGCCTCATTGGACGCAGAAGAGCCACATTAAGAAGACCCATTAGAGTTGAACTCAGCTATGAAAAAGTCTAAGGTAAATTCCAGGAGCAACTAAAGTCACACTTGGGCAATTATGAAAATGAGGCTGACCCAAATGTTGCTTGGAAAGATATACGAACAGCTTTGGAAACAGCGGCGACATTTATTAGTGATTTGAAACAGTGGATTTCTACTAAGTCTATTGCAATGATAGATTCTCGTAAACTCATCCCATCTGGCTCCGAACACGATGATGAGCGAAAACAAATAAGATTTAGGCCGACCAAATGTTTAAAGAACGACTGTTAGCAATGGTGGGCAACGGAAGCAAAAGAGACGAAAAAGGCAGCTATTGTAGGTAACACCAAACAGCTCTTCAGACTCAAAAGAAACCGGAATTAAGAAGTCAAGTGTAAGTGAGACTATCTCAGAAAAAGATGATACTCTTATCTGACCTCAGCCCAGATATTTAGAACGATGAGCGGAACACTTTATGGAACAGTTTAGCTGTCCTTCAGCTACTTTACAACTACCCACCATTCCCAAACAATCTGAATGGAACATTGAAGTAGGCCCCCGACTCTAATTGACGTACAAAAAGCTATAGCTAATTTGAAGCGAGGAAAAACAGCCGGTCCAGATGGATTGGCTCCAGAGGTCTTTAAGTATGATGGTCTAATTTTAACTGTTAGGTTGGCTAATATTTTAGCTAAAATCTGGAAACTGAATCTAATCTCATCTGACTGGTCACAATTACTGATTGTCCCAACATATAAGAAGTCAAAATCATCCTGTACTAACCATAGAGGGATTAGTTTGACTAACATAGCATCTAAAATACTAGCCTCAATAATTACCGGTCGCCTAACTAAGACTCGTGAACTGCACACACGAGAAAATCAGGCCGGCTTCAGACCTGATCGTGGCTGCATCGACCACATATTCACCATTCATCAGACTAAAACACAGGCAGGCTTATCGGAGTTCGACAATGATGGTTTTTCTTGACTTAAAAGCAGTATTTGACTCTGTAGGCCGAGGAGTTCTGGGGCACTGTCTGTTATTGAAAGGTGTACCTCAGAAGTACATAAACCTTGTGAAAACTCTTCACTCAAACGCTACCAACCGAGTCAGAGCTTATGGCAAACTGTCATTTGATTTTTCAACCTCAAGTGGCGTCCAACAAGGTTGTCTACTATCTCCATTTCTGTTTAATTTCATCATGGACCTACTGCTGGAAATAACTTTCCCGTCGACTGAATTTTCAGGAATTGATCTCATACCAGGAGGTTTACTTACCAACTTGGAATACGCAGATGATATATTCCTGTTTGGTGAAGACTGATAAAATGCAGTCTTTTGGTAGCACTGAACAACAATGCCAGAATGTTTGGGATGTGCTTCTCCACCTCGAAATGCAAGTTGTTGCTCCAGGACTGGCCTGCGTCAACACCTGAACTAAAGATATGGAGTGCATCAGTCGAACGCGTTGACAACTTCATTTGTCTTGGAACTCTGATCACCCCTAATGGGTTGGTGTCTGACGAAATCTCAGCACGGATTCGAAAAGCTCGTCCGGCTTTTACCAACTTACGTCACCCATGGCGAAGGCGAGATATCTGTCTATCAATTATTTGGCGAGTATACTGCGCAGTAGTTCGTTCTGTTTTACTTTACGGCTGTGAAAGGTGATCATTAAGAGTAGAAGATACACATAAGTTACTAGTATTCGATCATATATGTCTTAGAAATATTTCCCGCATCCACTGGGATCACTTGATAAGTAACAGTGAGGCTGGACGCAGGGTATTAGGGAATAATGGTAAATCCGTTAGTGAGGTTGTGGATCCACATCGACTGAAATGGTTGGGCCACGCATGCCCAACCACCGATTACCATGGCGCGCAATGCTGACTAGTGTTGGAGACGGGGAGGTGACAGTTAGGGGCGGCCAAACCAAAATGTGGCATCAGTGCTTGAAGTCACTGAATTCTGGTCTTAGCCTTTTTGGTAGATGCAGACTATTTGATTGGGGTCTGTGCGACTATCGTGACCGATGGTTGGAGACTCTGGGTGACATGGCTCAGAATCGATCACAATGGCATGGATGTATACATTCTTTGTCTTCCCTTAAACCGTGAGATTAAAACTACTTCATGTCTTTCTTACTCGCTGTATCATATCCTTATATGAGATGCGCTTTTTTTTACATTACTACCATTGAGGTGATTACTTCTATGAATTTGTTGTTCATCTTGTTATGCTAATGAGGTATGGCAACTTGGACCGATGCATGTATGTGCCTTATTGTACGTTGTAGCTGACTTACTGGAGCTCTTCGGTAACTCAGAGGTGTTCCCTATTTTTAGTACCTTGTTAAGACTAATAATCGCCGTCGTTTCAAAATAATTTGTGTCGTCGTTTCTCTTGTTAACTAATTAATACGTTTTTGTTAGGATTTTAACGGAGTTTGTAAGAATGTATTATACCAAGTTGTATCCTAGTTTTACCTATCAATTTTTTGTAACTACTGTTCTTAGTCTACATGACTGAACTATAAACCTTTTTCTATTTTCAGCAACGCCTTGTCGGTAGTGTTCGTGGCACTGTGGCTCATGACTAAAATACTAGCATTAATTCAAAGTGATAATTTGCTGATTTAAGCGGATTGCACACTAAATATATATATATATATATATATATTGATGAAATATCCAAATTCTTGTATTACGTAAGTTTCGTTTACTGCTATCCATTCATCGTTTTTAGTTTATACTTCTCATGACAAGTATTTCATTTTATATTGTGTCTGATTGTATCAAGTAACAATTTCGGTCAAAGTTCACCAGCTATTTTAATTAGATATTATGTCTACAGTCTTGGATACGTATATTGCTTTGTCAGTTCCTTGCATATTCATATATAACAGTCATATGATATGATAACAGTGATATTGACACCAAAAAAATAATTTATTATTAGACTATAAAAACAGAAATATGTCAATAAATATACATTTATGTATGATTTATAAACCATTCAGTCACCAACTAATCCCTATTAACATTCTTCATGTCTACGTTATAATTTTTTATTTCATATTTTTACTTTGATACTTACTAATTGGTTTTATCATGCTATATGTATATTGAAAATAGTACACAAGACGGCATATTAACTTGAAAATTTAATTATATTTTAAATTTGAATCGTTTCATTTACATCTCTGGATTAAATAAAATAACTTGAGATGGTAAAGTGGATAAATTTTCAAAGTGATAAATGAATCAGCTGCTAAATTTTTGTGGGATATCCAGTTGCGTATATGGTTGTTATTGGTGTTCAGTCGTGTTTATAAATTGTTTTGTTCATAGTTGCTAAATTAGTCCGTATAAATTTCTAGGCTACATAATGTTAAATCGAAATAGACTATACAATAGGTATAATTTTTATTTGTTGATGATAGATGAAACAAAAACATTGTAAAATGTATTCGTGGTATTGATGGGTGATGAAAGTGTTAAGACTTTCATCTGTTTAGGCAGCTACAACATTTATTTGGTACAAATGGTTACAGCAATTCTTAATTGGTCGTCATTATGTTAACCTGTGAAGTACCTTCACTGAAAAATATTTTTTAAAATCTTTATTTTCAATAAATTAGGTAGAATCAGTAATTTGAAGTTGACTGATATGAATCAAACACTGACAAGTCAATTTTATTGTTTATTTTATGTTGTCTTGTGTAAATATTTAGCGCAAACGTTTATGTATATGAACATGTTAGCCCATTCTATAAACAGTGCCATATAACCAGTTATCTTGTTCCGATTTCCGTCCATAAACAGTTAAATCAAATCGCCTTTTTTGGAGCAAGGGACAGAAGAAAATAAACAGTCATTATCTATCACTCAATTCTTGTGAATGATTTCTTTCTTTTCCTTTGTTTTATCTCACAGTGTATGTGTGATATTCTGTTACTTTTTCTTAATACTATCAATGACAACATTCAGTGGTTTCCTATAAATAAATGTATGTTGTTAATTATCTAACTGCGCCAAATTCTAAGATAAATTTTTATAAATTACGTGAGAATTTCATTCCTCGGTTGACTTTTCTTCTTTTCTATCTATGTTCATTCTTTTCGTTTGTTAACTGTTGTTCATAAAATCAAAGTTTTGTTTATGACTGTATTCCTGCTTATTATTAATCTTATACTTCAGAAAAATAATGATATTATTGTTGTCATTAACTCAGTTTGACTAATATTTGTTCTGCTAAATTACTTTTTGAAATTTATTACCATACACATTCCAAAAACTTCACAAAAGGATACATGTATACATATTTGTTTTTTCTTGTGTTCCTTTTTATATTTTCGGTGCTTGTTGTCATGTTGTTTGCTTTTGTTTTTTTTTACCTGAAATTAGGGATTCTACTGTTATACCCAATTAGAATCTTTTTACTCATCTCTTATTTTGTTAATATTCTGACAATTGTTGTGTTTACCTTTGATCGTCATCGTTTCTCGTCATTAATGAAGAAAATAACCGAATGAAGGTTTTTCTTAACTTTATCAATCGTTTAAATAACCTGTTCCCTCCCTATTTAGAAAAATTCGCAAACTAAAAGATAAATAGTTCTGAATTATTACATCAATTTTCGTCTTTCCCTTTGTTTACTAATTTTTAATCTTTCTTGTGTGTAGGTCAGTTTATTCATTTGTCAGTCTGTGTTTAGCTTTGTAAATGATTTAATTAAAGAATGCATTGAATTATTCGTGTCGAAGTTATTAATATCGATGTTTAATGATATTCTGTCTTCTCTTATTTTTCACGGGAAGAAGGTTGTAACAATTGCTAAAATTATATTTCTAAACTTATCAGTTCGTAATGCAATGTAGTTATTCGGATTAGTTAAGTAATGTTAACTAATTTCGCATTCATTCGCTTAGCCTTGATAAAAAAATATATTTCTTTAATTATTGTATGTGTAGTAAACTAAATGACCCGATACTTCAGTTAAATGAGATAGTATTATGCATCTTTGATTGCAATTCGGAATGCTATGTGCTCGAATTTCTCAGACGGATGTCTTTTTGATAAATGCTAATCTTATATGTAAGATTTGTCCAAAAGGTTTTTGGTTAATCACCTTTGTATATCAAAAGAATCAACTCACATAGTTGTTATGCCAAGTTCTACGTTTTTCATGAATAACCGATTAACATGGTTATTATGAATATTGTCATTCTTAGAATTATATCTCATAAACTAGGTTTACGCATTATGTAAAAGAAATCGAATTGTAATTAATTATATCACTGATCAAATAATGTGGTTAAATGGTATCAATAAAGTCATTTTATAAAAAGAATAATCAAGGACGAAGACCAAAACGATATTAATAAAAAAGGTGGGTTAACACAGCGGTGATCCCATATCATAAAGGCATTTCAGAAGGATCCTAACTTCAAAATACAAGAGTATTCTTTCGAACAAACAATAATCTAAGACCAAAACTAGTAAAATCCGAAGATCCAATACCCAAGAGGAACAACAAAATCGTGTTCATGAAATCAAATATAGTGACTGTAATGCAACGTATTTAGGTGAAACATCAAGGCAACTGGATATGAGGGTGAAGGAACACAAGCTATGCTTAAAGCACATTCCTAAATCCTCGTATGACGTACGAAAACTCGAAAACGAATCAGTGATCGTATTGCACTCCAAGGAATCGGGCCATGCAATTGATTACAACGGTACAAGAGTCCTTCAAAAAGGTTTTACCTCTTACAAAGAAAAGCCCTACACATATGAGCGAATCCAAACAGTATTAATAGGAGAGATGGGCTACAATCAGCTGTTCCGCGACAACTAATGATGAATAAGTAAACCTGAGCTCCTTATTTCATTTTACCTCTCTTATCTGGATAACAGCAATTACATTCAACATTTCTAATCAGTTGTTTTAACTGAATATGTTAAACAATTAACTGGGACAATAAAAATGACACAAACATTCATTTACTTGGGAATCATTTAGGAATACCGATCGATAGTCCCATCATGGTTTAGGATCTTAAATGTTTTTTTTTACTCGTTTAATGTTAATTTTGGTAAACAGCTGTTTTCTTCCAAAGCTTATCAGCTTGCTCAATGTTATGACTTGGTCAGTGTTTTAAATTCGTTGGTTGTTTAACTATTTATTGTAGTTTAATCACACCTCAAAATATATTATTGACCTTTATCAATAAATTCCTTTAAAATTTATATTATTGAAGCTTAAGTAATCACAGACTTCGAACAATAGGTGTTTTATTCACTTATGAAGATGGAGTGAAATTTATCATAGTCACGCGTTCAAGTATTAAGCTTTTTGGCCAATATGAGCTGCTTCCTGATTTAGAAATTCCATTCATTACTGACACTTACTAAGTTCATGTACCCAAAGCAGGAAGAGATTCTATGTTAACCTCTATCGATTAAGCAGCAATACTCACAGTTCTTGTGTATTTATAGATAGCCGGATATCTCAGATGTAGATGATCTCTAGCCAGGTTATTAAATGTATTATACACCCCAGTTAGATCACATTGTCATCGAACCTTCCATTCATCTTTTACACAAGTGATTTGAGAAGTCTCATGTTTGCTGGATTCCGTAGCTATCACAAACTTAAAGTAAATCATTTGACTTTATTGACCTGATCTGAAAGTCGACCATCATAATTATGAGTTAGTTGCACTCCTTAAAGATTACTTATTCATGTGGCTTACAAGTACTTTGGAATATTTTCTAGTAAAAATACGTTCATTTTTCCACACAATATTGATACATCAAAACTAATAAATTGCTACAAGTCCACTTTTATTTTGCTACCGTTAATAAGCCGTATACTATAAGTTGAAAGCCGTTAAAAACCAAATTCACAACTGCTTGATACTAAAAAAGCATACTTTTAAAGCATTTCTACGTAAGTAAACCACATAGGATGGCTTTTTTCATATACAAAACAATCTTCAGAAATCGTTTTGCAAATTGATGTTGAGATTGGAGTTCTCACTTTTCTTAACCAATTATCCAAGTACAAAACAATTGCAAGTGATATAAATTATTACAATAGTGTTTTATGAAAGTATAAAGTGAGACAAAGATATTATTTCTTAGTATTCATGTAATTGATTTACAAAGTTATATGATCAAATTATAATTTAAAAATAAAATGAATGATTGACAATTTCAACTTCTATTCAAAGTAGTAGTTACATGATATAGGATAAACGCTTGGATCACATGACGTTTGGATGATAGAAGTATGTAGAAACTTTGGATCAGATTACTAAATAAATAAAGATGATTTCTTGAAAGTCACTTTTTTATAATGTATGATTGAAATTGCTCAAATACTATTACATGTATGAGAATAGGTATCACTTAAACTTAATACTCTTAAAGTAACACACATCAATTATGCTATGTGGTTGAAAGTAAGCAACATGGAGCTACAGCATTAATTAATAAAAAATGTTTTTAGCTATAAGTGAGCTGATCACTGCCGTAGGATCTGAACCCGATTCTGAATAATACTAACATTGTGATATTGTTGATTCAGTGCAATGAGCTCTAAGAACCGGATAAACATGACATTAGTTACTACATAGTGATTAGTCAATATGTACATCCCTAGTTTTTGTTCAAGAAGTACTAGATACTAGATAGTAGTGACTCAAAGTATATATTATTTACATATAACTTTATGGATGGTTATAGTTGATAGATGATTTTTAACACATTTCTGTTTACACAGGTATTTACCACACAAGTGAGATGACGAAAGTAGATATTTCGCAGTTAAATTGAATCAGTAAGCGTAAAACGTTCACCTACAAATCTTAATTTATATTTATTATAAACAAATAACAGATCCCCCAGCAAATTAAATTAGTGAATGATTTATCAATATTTACTAGTCACCAACTGTTATGCGGTTGTAACCGCTGATATTGTTCTTTCGTGGTGATCAGACATTTTGCCAGGTTTTTGGATGCTTTCTGAAAACAACTACCTTTTTTGATTTGTCCAACGAGGCAGTATCTCAGCCTACAATATAGCAAATAAGTTGAAAGACTCGAATCCTTGTTTAGCAACCATCAATTATTTTTATTCATTTATTTATCAGTACGCACACGAATCGGATTATCCTATCGTAATCTATTCCCAACATTGGGAGTTTCTAATTGTCATCTAAGTAGTAGTTGCTTTTTCGAAGATATCACCCAGAACGAGACCTGACTCAGATACTATGACACATCCACTTGTGGTCTTCGATTTTCTCGGTGGAGCCTTGAAATTTTAACCGCCTGCATATCCTAAATTTCAGAAATTCAAAATGAATACCCCACATACTTATTCAGAAAGAATGTATCATATATACTTTTACGGGACTGCTGTAGTTTCACTATGTTCATCACATTTCGTGAATTGACCAACCTTTGAAATATGAACCGTTAGATTCCAACTCAACAACTAGAACGTCTTATTTTCGACGATAAATTTTACAATTTTCGGTTTGGTTCAGTTTAGGATCGTTGGTGAACACTTCTGAAAAGTCCTGAACTTGAACGAAAAGATTATCTAGTGCTCCCTAGTTATGAGTAGTTCACTTGATGAAGTTACTCTGTAATGTAAATTATTCTCACCGATTGCTATTATTTATCTAAAAACATTAAATGGCCAAGAAATTCATTATATTGCTTTAAACTAGTTGCTCTCTAATAGCGATTCGCTGAAAAATTAACGGAATTTAAAGATGACATCATAGTAGGTAAAAACAACGAACGTAATTCTAAATCTCGTTTCAAGCCTTTTGCACGTGATGAGTTGTTTAGCAAAAAGTTTAGTGCTTACTTTATTTAAGAGGCATTTTTTTATGGAATGTAGTTTATCCTAATTAGCTATATCCAATCTTTCTTATCTTAACAGTCACATCTAATGATTTGTCATAATGTTGAGTCCAGTGAATATTATTACACGATGGACGACATATGCACAAAAATAAGGTAAAGTTGCTGATTCTTATAGAAACTCTTCATTACATCAAGTGAAACGACAATATGCTTGGTATTCAAATACAGATTGTTATGTAGATTTTAATACATCATGTGAGATGTGGTTTAATATGTGGATGGTTATTTTCACGGTTTATGTAATCAAGCAAACTAACATTCAAGTGATCTTAAAAACTGCTAATACTCAAGACCAATAATATACGGGTCAAGTGATAAATCGGAGATGCTGACGGGCTTACTCTGTAGATCAAGATTAAGTATGACTTTCTGGGGAAACAGATATACGCTATTTGTCGAAATTCTGGCATAATTTTCTGAGGAGACATATTTACGAATGAGTTGCTCACATGTTTTCGATTTGGTTACCCGACAAAAGCTTTTCACTCATGTAACTTGTTTTGCTGCTGTTTAAGAAGTGTATATTATAAGTACAGACTTGGATAAACAGCTGTCCTATACTTCCTACTTTTCAGTAGTCGTCTAACTAAAAACAGCTCAGGCAGTAGACTACCAAGTTCGGCAATTACGACAACACTGTAATATTATGATCTGACGGACAACTCTAGTTCGAAGAAAAGATTTGATTTATATGCTTACATGAAATTTATCTAGAAAGAAAAAAGTTACATTATCCCATTGTAAAACCCATTTACATTATTATTGCAGTAGTGATATCTAATATATGTTTTTCTTAGGCAATATGTCCTACATAATGAGAAAATAAAGTAATTCATGTGA